TCTAAAATTTAAAAAAAAAAAAAAAATTTAATAAAATTTTGCATAACACATTTTCTTATTTTAAACCATTTTTTATAAAATGTTTATGATGGTCACAGACTTTTAAAGCACTAATTAAAGAACTTTAGAGTAAAAAACATAAACTTTTGTTCCACAAGCCTATAAGTCATTTGTTATATCACTGTGCAAAATAGCAGTGCAAGTAACTGAGATGAATTTAGGAAAACATATTTTCTAAGATCATTCATTAAATATGTATTCTAAATAAATTTGTTAATATTTATTAATGACAGCCAATATTTAGTAATATTTTAAAATAAATTTGAAATTTAAATCCAAGCATTGCATTGTTGTCAACTTATGAAAAATGCAAATACAGTCAATAAATCTTTATGATGATTTAATTATAATACATTATTTTCTAACATCAGAAACGTGTTATAAAGGATTAACAACAGGGTATTTAGAAACAAATTGTGACTTGTTGGTGCACTTGATCACTAGATTCAAGTCCAAAACTTTTCCATCCAGCAAAATAAGTTTTAAAAATATTTTAAAATTACCACCATTTAAGATGTACTTTGAAACATAAAATTTAAAAACTTTATAACCATGCATCTTAAATATATAATTATAATTATATTAACACATGTTTTATTATACATAAATATAATATAAAGCAAAAGAAAATAATTTTTCCATTTTTAACGAAAGAATCTTTAGAGTGGGAAATGGATTCAACATATCTTGAAAAAAAGCACAAAGTTTGTCAAATGAAGATTGACAACAACTGCACAGAACGAGGCAAAGCTCTTATAACACCCTTTAAAAAAGGAATTAAGAAAGATGTAAACTAAAAGCAGTTTTTTCTTCGATTAGTTGATCTTCATTGGAAAGAATTTCCAATAGTATCAAAGTCTGCCATAGAGTTTCCAAAATACAGGTTTTTGGTATTCAAAATAGTGCACTGTATTTATAAAAGCATTTTAAAAATTTATCATTAGAAAACTTTTATAAAGGATTTACAGATTTATTTTATATTTTTTTATTTATTTTACTTTTCAGCACTTAAAATATTTAAGTAGTATTAATTTAATTTTCCAAAAAAAAATTTTTTTTTTTTTTTAACATTAATGCATTTAATATAAGAAAATCCATTTGACTTCAAAGCTTAGTTGAAAAGTTACCAGCAACAGAAAATGTTCTTTTAATGTTGACAAGAATTTCGCTGGATGTTGACATGAGTTTCGCTGACATGAATTGTTTTGAGAGCTGCAGCAATCTTATTTAAATTTGCTGTTTGAATTCCACTTGTTTTAAATTAAGCATGGCATTACTACAATTTGATCAATTTCCGTAATGCAGTAAATTTCAGCATAGTAAAGAAATTTACTGCATTAGATAAGAAATTAGTGGTGCTTAGTCATGAATGCAATACTCAGTTTGGTGATTTTGATGTTGTCTTTTTTATAGAGTGAATTGCTGGATAATTTATTGTGAGCTGATTTTTATTGAAAAATTGAGTGCGCTTTGATGTGATTTTTTATCGCTTTTTATTGCATAATTGAAAAAAAAAATCTCTTTTCTGCAAAATGCCAATGCGGTAACAGCAGGGCTTACTTCACACAGCTTAAACTCCTTAAGTATCTCTGAAAATAGATCAGAACTACTAATTTTGGGTTTAAACGATATGATTATCATTACGAAATATAACTTTGTTATATAATAGATCTTTGTTAGAGATTGTTGTGACTGTGTCTTTAAGTTATTATTGGATTTTATATCAACTTCATCCGATGATTCGAAATTAACATTATTCAATACTTTGGTAAAATTTTGTTTGATTATATTTTTTGCATATTCAATAATTGCTGACTTTGATGAATATTTGAAGTCATCATTATTTTGTGACATATTTGAATTAGGGTTTTCCAAATTTCTTATTAGTGATACTAAATCTTTATTGCGTCACTCATTGTAATCTAGCATCACTACACTTAAATTTTATATATACAATCTTTTATATATCAACAAATCACTTATGACTCTTTGCAAAAAAATTAATCAAGATCTTCATTGCTTATGTAACTGGTTAAATAGTAATCTTATCATCTTAAAAAAAAACTTACACAAGCTAACAGTATGCTTTCTCTAATTCGTCACTATGTTCCTATCCAAACTTTTCGAATGATTTTTTTTTTAAATTCTCTTCACACCTTCGCTATTGTTTTATTATTTGGGGTCAAAAAAGAAACTTTTTGCTTAATAGCATTGCTAGTTTACAACATAAACCGTAATATTTATTAAATATTTTATTAAACCGTATATATTTACAACGTAAATATATATATATACATTACGTTTACAACGTAAATGTAACCAGTGTATTCCTGCATTAATAAAAAAGTCAAAAAAAAAAATATCCCCTTGTTACGGATTATTTACTGCTCAACAGAATTCAATTTAAAATTATATTGTTAGAGTGTATTTCTTTATAACTTATCTCTGTACTGTAGTCGTCTTTATTATATAATTTCTTTAACGAGCGAGTGGTTTGATTTTTGCTTTATTTA